GACAAATATGGGTTTAAGACATTATATTTCCAAGCAAAATTGGCAGAGTTCTCTGTGTTGAGGAATCAAACTTCCAATCTTACCTCCACAAAAGAGTCAAACTTCGTTGTTGTAAACGTCTGCATTACATGCATAGATCATTCACATATCATGCATAACAAAATTCATATATAATTCATAACAAGAGTGTTTCATCCTCGTTTGCATTTCCCGAGGTCTTGTTGCAGTCGACATGTCACTTTAAGATCAAAGTCCAACTTACTTGGCACCTACCAAAGCAGATGTCAGTTCAGTTGTTTTCTCTCTTGCGTCCAATGCTAATCTTGGATGAGTTGTTTTTCTCTTTCGTCCAATGCTAATCTTGGATGAGCTGTTTCTCTCGTTCGTCCAATGCTAATCTTGGATGAGCTGTCTTTCTTTCCATCTAATGTTAATCTTGGATATGTTGTCTCTCTTTTCCGTCCAAAGTTAATATTGGGTGTGTTGTTTCTATTCCAAAGCTAATATTGGATTTATGGTTGTTTTCCCTTTCTGTACAATGCTAATATTGGGTGTGCTACTTCTCATTTTCAACCAATGCAAATCTTGGATATCATGTTTCTCCATGCCATCCAAAGCCAATATTAGATGTCATGATCTTTTCTTTCATCCAAAGTCAATATTGGATGCCATAATCTTTTGCTTCCATCCAAAGCCAATATTGGATGTCGTGATCTTTTCTCTCATCCAAAGCCAATTATTAGATGTCATGTTTCTTTTTTGTCCAGCGTCTTTCCTGAACGACTCTGATTAGCTTCAGATTTGGTCTTATCCCACATCTAACATTCTTCTAGATGTTTCTAATTGTATTTTCCATAGAGTTGCTCGCCTCATTCAATGCCATTTTTGGATGTCGCTGCTTGCCTTTTCAGGGTTTGTCTTCCCTTTTCTAGTATTTCTGGTTACTCCTTGTCACCCTGATGGATATCCAGAATACCTTGCATTCCCTAGCGTGTCTTTCCACGTCATTTCTTTCAATATACCATAAATCTTTTGTTTCACATTTCTCCAAATAATGTCTTTATTATTTACATTCATTCATAACATATGATATTATCTCATCGCATCAGGGATGAAATTCAGGTCTGTTTGTATTTAATTACTTTCCTCCTATCTGGCTAAAAAATATTTAAATAGGGGCAGCTGTTGCACCCTAAAATTTTCCCCTAAATCTTTTAGTTTCACTTTCAAATCATATTTTATTATTTGGTCACAATCATTAATAAATATCTTCATTCATCACATTTTGCATCATTAGTCGTATTTAAGTTGACCAAAAGTCAGTTTAAATCGAAGTTTGCATCGTTTTTTAGTTAAAAAATACTTGATATTTCACTTCATACATTTTTATCTCTTTACTCGTTTCTGGCATTGCTCCAAGTTGTTTATATGTCGATAATATTAATATTTTGATTTTACAGACATATTGTTAAAAGCGATTCGACACTGTGCGGAAATTAGCAAGGAAATATTTTAAGTTTTCATCTTTTACTGATCATTTTATGAATCAGCGTCTCGCGTAGATCATGACGGTATGCTCGCTTTATTTTTTTGGTACAGTTTGAAGTCTCATTTTTAACCGTAAGCGTTTGTTCAATCTGATATTTTTATTCTTATTTTATTTCAATTTTGATCATCTGAATATTTTTTCATTAATCTTTGTGACATGTAGTTTATTTTAATGTGACCATTTCATTTTTTCGGATAGATTAATATCCATTTTTTCAATCGTTTTTAGTCATTTTGTGTCTCTATTTTTTATTTAGAAAATTAAAACAAAAATATTTTTAAATGTATTATTTTTTATAATTTCATATTTTTGTGTTATTTTTATTTTTAGAAGGCTTTTTGGTCGCTTAGAAAAATATGCTAAGCCATTAGTTTTGTATATAAAAATCTAGCAGATTTGTAAAATAAAAGAGAACTGAGAGCCTACTACCCTTAATCTTCTTCTCCCTCCATGAACCAGATACAATTCCTCTTCATTTCCATTTCAATCTCTTCTCTTCAATTCTTCACCATCACATCTTGCTCTCATCCACGAAGCATTTTCTTGATTCAATTCCACCATTCATCTTCTTGATTTCTCATCAATCTCCCTTCATTTTTTTCCAACAAACCAGAATACTCCCACTGTAACTCAATTAACTCATGCATTCACCATCTCCATTCTTCTTCTACTAATGTTCCTTCAATCATCCTTTCCGCGTTTCATCATCATCAATTGCTAACCATCATCTCATAACCTCTATCTTCAATATCCCTTCTACCTCCATTTCCAACGTACTTCCGCCGTAACAGCATATTCACGGTACCCCCTCCGTCCAACAGTCTGAAGCAACACGCATATATACTCCCTCTGTACAGCTCACAACAACGTACTTTTTTTATTTATTCTATTTTTTAATTACTATTTATTATTAGCTTTTGTATAGATTAGTGTTTGAATTTATTTTTGATTTGGGCCTAGTTTCATATTTTGCCCCAAGGCCTATTAAACCCCCTAATTCGTAAATACACCTTTTTACTATTCTAATTCCTTATTTTCAATTATCTATTTTGTTAATGTAAATAAATTCAAACAATTATATTATTGTTTCTTGGTTGCATTATGATTTCGAATTTTAATCCAATTTAACTTTCGAAGATTGTATGGATGCATAGACTTTATTGACCGACCTTAAAATAGGTGCGACTTCTATATAAGTCCACTTACGATTGTTTAACATATCGCTAAATTTTGTCCTGATTTGAGTAATGATCATTCGTGGCCCAAACTTATGTTTGCAAGCTCAAGTATATTAATTTGAATCCTTTGATCCAATAACCTTGAGATTTATTGTTAGAAGGCTTTGGTCTTATCAATCCTCTAATAAATCTTCATAAACTTTGGTCAAAGTGAATCACTTAAACATTGTTGATCATTTATTGTTGCCTTAAGAATTTTAAATGAATGATATACTTGGCAAAAAGCAAATGAAACTTGTTGTTGAGAGACTTTGGTTTTATCAATCCTCTAATGAGTTTCAAATGCAAGTTTCAAGATGGTCATTCAACTAACCTCTAATTTCTAACAATTGACTTTATTTTATGTTTTTACTTTATGTTTTTTACTTTAGGCACATTTATTTTAGCATTTACATTTCATGCTATTTTCATCTTTGCTCAATTGAGCATTTATTTTTATGTCTTTTTCTTTATTTTTCTCATTTGAGCTATCATTTTCTTTTTTGAAGATACTTAATAATCAACTTGAACCATAAAAAGCTTTAATGTTACTTGGACTATTTGGTTATTATCCTTGGCATTTTTGGAGTTATGGACTTCTTGGACTTAGGATTAGAGACATCGGCCTATCTTGAGACCTTGTAACCTCAATTGTTATTTTGTCTGGAGTTCTTGGGGTTTACCCCGAGACATTGGGTTGTTTGTTTGCTTTGTGTGCAGGTTATTGTGATTACATGCTTTGTCTGTGATCGAGAATTCATCCGTATACAACCGTTACTCTGTCCAATTTTTGTGAAGACTTAATGCAATTGAAGCTCGGTTTTATTAAGAGGTTTATTACCTTTGCTTGTTTGGTTTAAAATTAAAAGGATGGGAATTCTACATTGACTCATTGTGCCAAGTGTTGGCTTCTTGTTGGTTAGACAGTTCTTTTCTCTAGCTTTTACCTTATCTTTTATCCTCTTGTACATAGGACACTCTCTTCATCTCTTCTTCCATTCTTTAATTTTCAAAATCTTCTCGTCTTTTTCAAAATCTTCTTTGTTTATAAACTCGAACCGCTTTGATAATAAACCTCGACTTTACCGAGTGCCTTTTATTTTAAAACTTATTGTCTTTAAACAAACTTCAATTCATTTAATCATACTTTGATATTTTTCAACATTAACAAAAACACTTCAACTCACTCAAACCCTTTTGTGCGCTCGAGAACCTTTACCCTTTATAACTTTTTCAAGATTAGACATGATTCATTTATAGTCGAGCAACATTCTCCTATCCCCATGGTTATAAAGGTGTCGACTTTTCCACTTGAGTGCTAGAGGTGTTCTCAAACCCTCACTCTTGCTGATGCAGGGTCCATCTTTCCCACACCTTGTGGGCGTTAGTCGAGATTTCTCTCCTAAAATTAACGATTTGTCTCTTCGTCTAAAATCAACCGACAGACAAGTCTTTTCTAGTCGAACTACGGTGCTCTGACTTTCCCATTGCACGAGGGAGTACGTAGGCACTAAGTGTTACGACTCAAGACGAGCAAAAATAATAAAAAAACATTTTATTTTGTTTGCAAATAATCATTAATTCTTTCACTTTAGCAAGTAAGCCTTTAGATAACACACCTTTTAAAAGAAAACAAAAAAAGTGGATCCTACGGAGTACCGTAGATGCTTAGGGTGTTAATACTTTCCATTTACATAACCGACCCCCGTACCTCGATCTTTGATTTTTTACTTCATTCTGGGTTTTGTTCGCTTTTTTCCATTTCTCTTTAAAAATAATAAAGTGTGGTGGCGACTTAATTGTGTTGAGATAAGTCAATTGATGACTTAATGTAGATCTTTACTGCTACATTTCTATTGTTTGCATTTATTTTTCACACCGTGCGACACAAACTATTTATAAACCCTTTTTATGTTTTTTATCAAAGAAATCATCTTCAATTATTTCTCACCCTTCCCTTTTTAAGTCTCGTTATAGTAGAAACATAACCTGCCAGTATATCACAACTAAATTCAAACATGAGTTCTAAGCATTTTTTTAATGTGTAAACACTAAAAAAAAAAAAAACATACACTATAACAACACCATTTGAGTTTTTTTGCAGAATTAGAAGGGAAAGGAAAAAGTAGAAACAGAGACGAAAAGAAATATAAATCTTCTGCCTATGAATGTATAATTTACACTTGTTATTGTTGTTGTTGATTTTCTTATAGGATGTTGAAGAAAGGAAAGGTTCAAAACCAAGAAAATCCAGGAAAAAAGACAAACAGACTCCACAACCTCCATTCACAGCCATACTCCCCGTCGAATCTCCGTGTTTCTCCGATCGATGTCCATGCCATGAGTCCATATGACGCCGTCACTTTCTTTCCGTTGTCTCGCAAGGCTAGACTGCCAGAATCTGCACACAACCTCCATCTGCTCGTGTTTATTTGTTTTACAGGAAGAATGGAAGAAGGAGAAGGTCGAAATAGAGACATTCGATACCAGTAACTTCCGAACAACTTCTGCATTCATTCCTTGGAAAATCAGATCCGGCCCCGAGGCAACTCCTTGGGCCACCGCAACCCCTTGTTATTCCGACCACACCAGCCACTGCGAGATTCCGGCATCAGATCTGCGACCAACCGCGCCTCTGTCTCTACCGCGATATAACATCGACACCGTTCTGAAGCTCCAATTGACCGCCATCTAAATCATCGCCGCCGTCACAAATTTCTTTGCTCTTCTTCCTCTTGATTTCGATTAGAACCACGTACTGTTGTGTTTTTTTTTTGTTGTTGTTGTTTCTCAGGCAAAAGAAGGAAGAAGAAAACTTGAAAGGTGAGAGAGTGATTAGAAGGGAAAATTGGGTTGTTATGTAAAAAGGGGTCTGAGAGGGAGGAACAATATTTTTGAGGATGAAGGAGTTTTATATTGTTTTCATCTCTCTCACGTGATAGCTAAAAAAGGACGGCTCCACGATATGCCTCTCTATTGGTCATTTTAATGAGTGTTTTTTTTTATTTCATTTTAATTATTCCGCCACGTGTAGGCTAATGGTTGGGCATTGTTTTGGTTTTTGTTTTTTTTATTATTTAGCATTGTTAATCAAATAATCAGGCAGGCCTTGAATTGTATTTTTTTTGTGTTATTATTTCCACCCCAAGTTTATCTACTCTTTTTTTTATGTATTATTTAGGATATTTATTATTCTAATTAATTCTTACTTGGTATAGATGTGTTAATTAAAATTACCAAAAACACTAATAAATATTAAAACACAAAATACGCCTATTTTCATTCTAGTTGGCTTGTAAATTTTTTTTTTATATATATTAGATTTAACTAACTAATTTGGTTAACTAATTGGTTACATGTACTAATCCAAATATATTTTGTAATCAAATAATTAATTCAGACATTCTAAATAATAGAATATTCATCTTCGAGTAATTAAATCGGTTGATATATTATCTACCGGTTTAATATTCAAAATCAAACAATTAAAATCCACGCAATTTATCAAGTTCACCATCCGCGAATGATACGTGACCAAAATCTAGCCACGTGATGAGGAGATTATATCCTACTCTCCCGCTCTACACTCAAAACAGCTAACCAATCTCAAATCATTTTTTACTAACATAACAAAAATTCAAGATTATTTTCAAAAAAAAGATTAAGGAGAATTTCTTCCGAAATTAACTGCGAACTACGTCTACGACCACTCAACCTAGAACCCAGACAAGATTCAAAGATAATTCGAAAGCAATTCTACACAATCTTATAAAAAATATCAATCAAACCGTGAACTACGAAATGAGACTTTGATTCCTCCTAAGAGGATAAGTAGGCATACGATTAAAATCGTAGCGAGTTCCCCTAATAAAACATTAAGACTCTATTTCCTTAAAAAACGTGTTTTTAAAACTAGTATCCTTGTAAACAAGGTAGATGAGGGGTGCCTAACACCTTCCCTTCGTCTAAAACCGAGTCCAAAAACCTAGAATCTCTGAATTTTTTATGGTTATTCCTTTATACTCTCTTCCTTAGGATAAAAATCAAGGATGACGACTCTAATTTTAAAGTCAATTACAAGATATATCACTGTATCAAAAGATAGAAAAGTATCATATGAATTAACAATACAATATTACCCTATATATACAAGGGTCAATCACATATAGACACAATGATACACTTATATTAAACAGCCTAGACAATATCTCTAATATTATAGAATATAGGCTTGCATGTAGTCTACAGTAGAAAAGAGTGCACTAACAATATAATCTTAATAATATCGGAGGAATCCAGTTAAGAAAGCGTTGAAAATGCTAATGACGACATATCTTTATTTAAAAAACTTTGATATTATATATTTATCAAAAATCTTAAAATATTAGAGATATAAATAATTTTTTTTGTATATTAATATTTCTTTAATTTATAATTAATATGAAATTTAATCACTCATGTTTGAATTTCACCCGTAATCTTATTTAATTTATATAAATTTTTTAATAATATTAAATAACAAAAATTCAGTCATAATTTTTTTTATTCAACAAGTTATCAAATTGTTGGAACTCGCGCTCTGTATCTAATAGCTATGTAGAACTATCAATTCAACTTTTTAAATAATAATCTTTTTATTAATGATGCTATATAATCAATTTCTGACTAGAAGCAAATGATTTGTGTCCCCTTATTTATTTTAAATAAAAAATATCAATTAGTCCCTTGTCCCGGATTAAACAAAAAAAAAAAGTGCAGTTTTAATTTTTCAAATAAAACTTTTTAAAAAGTTACTTCAATGTTCATCCAAATAAATAAAATTATCATTATGTACAACTTATTATACTATACTATTAATATGTACGAATTACACTTGACATATAAAATTTTATTTCACACTAGTACGTAAATTTTATTGTAAATCATACTAATAAATAAATTTAATTGTAAATTTTCAATAATATTGATGGTTTTTTCCGACTTTTTTTAGATTGTTTAATTTTTTTTATGTATAAAATAATTGTTGAAATTTTAATTTTCAGTGTTGAAGAAAATTGCTCGATAGAAACAGATCGTATAGATTAGTCTAGTGTGTGTATCGAAATGTCGAAGGTGTACCGCGACAGAATTACGACTTAGTCTTATTTTTGTAGTTAACAGAATTAGGTATTTTAGGCTTTTGTGTTTTGTGCTTTGACTTATGGAACAAGTAAACTTATAACTACACATAGATTGAGTAATCCCTATTTGTTGTAATCATCTCACACACTTGTAGTTGCAAAATAAAGTTTCAGTTTGAAAAGCAGAGAGAAACTATGCAGAAAATTCTTCTTCTCATAATTTTGTTCAAACCTTAACACCTTTCTTCCAATTCATCTTTTCTTTTCTTCTTCAATTAACAATTGTGCAGCAGAATCATCTTATAATCAAGGTTGATTGATTCACTCGAGTGAATAGTGAAGAACAAAAGAGGAATTCGAACGGTTGATTGAATCTTGTTCGTCAAGATGGATTCGTAATTCTCATATGTTTGGTGCAATTCCAACATTTGGTATCTAGAGCATTGATTGAGCTATTCGTGGAAAGTGAAACTCGATGCCAATGAATTGTATGAATGGGTATTTTTCGGGGAGTCTTCCAATTCCGAAGGGTCATAATTATGAAAATTGGTGTAAACAGATGAAGGTTGTTTTTTATTATCAAGATCTTTGGGATCTTGTGAAAGAAGAAGTAACACCACTTGAAGAAGACACGACGAATAAAGAAAAGGTTGCACAAAAAGAATTGAAGAAGAGAAATTATAAAACTCTCTTTATAATTCATCAATGCGTTGATCGAGATAATTTAAAAAAGCTGAGTGATGTTGATTCAATGAAAGAAGCTTGGGAAATTCTGGAGAACTCACTTGGAGGCTGAGAAAAGGTGAAAGAGATGAAGTTACAAGCTCACAAAAGAACGTATGAATTGCTTCAGATGCAAGAAAGTAAAAGCGTAAATGATTTCTTCACTAAGGTTACGAAACTGGTGAATCAAATCAAGGTATGTGGAGAAATATTGACATCAAGATCAGTTGTTACAAATATCTTGAGGTCATTAACTCCAAAGTTCGACCATATGGTAGTAACCATAGAAGAGTCAAAATATTTGTTAACATTGACAAAGAAAGAGCTTGAAATGGAGCTTGAATCTCATGAACAAGAATGGTTAAAAAAGCTACAGGAAAGTCGAATAGTGATGTGGCTCTAGAAGCACAACCAACAAGAGAAAAGAAAGCCAGGCAAGTGGTTCAACAACAAAGGTAGAGGAGGCTACAATAATTTGATTGGTCGAGGAAACCAACAAGAAGGAAAATATTTGAATAAGAGAAGACTCTCGTACCAAAGCAACTAAAGAGGTTGTGCTGCAGGTAGAGGAAAGATGGCAAAAGGTTAGTAATTTCCAATGTATTGTGTATACCATACATGAAAAGTAATTTGTTGAGTATAAGGCAGCTGGTTGAAAAAAATTACAAAGTGTCAATTAAAGACAAGTTGATGAGAGTTCTTGACTCAAGAGGAAGATTAATATTGAAGGCTCCTATGTCTCATAATAGAACCTTCAAGATTGAACTTAATGTGATAAAGCAAAAATGCCTTGTGATTGCAGCTAGTAGAGATGAATGAATATGACACTATCGACTTGGCCATATCAACTTCAAAGACATTAGAGATTTGAAGAGATGAAATATGATTTCAGAATTACCAGAAATTGACATTCCAAATGAAGTGTGTGAGGAATATGTGCAGGCGAAGCATCACAAGAATAGTTTCTGCAAGGACGCATGAAGCAAGTCGAAGGAAATCCTTGAAGTCATATACTCTGATGTATGTGGTCCAATCCAGGTAGATTCGATTGGAGGTGAAAAATACTTTGTCACATTCATAGATGATTTCAGCCGAAAACTGTGGACTTACCTAATCTAGAAGAAAATTGAAGTGATTGAGATATTTTCCAAGTTTAAATTTATGGTTGAAAGACAAAGTGGTCGAAAGCTCGTGATTTTGAGGACTTATGGTGGTAGATAATATGTGTCAAAAGACTTTGACATATTATGTGAGAAAGAAGAAATTGTGTATGAGGTGGTTCCACCCTACACTCTACAACAGAATGGAACTGCATAAAGGAATTATAGAACCATCATAAACATGTTGATAAGTATGTTGAAAGGCATACATTTACCTAAGAAATTGTGGGGTGAAGCTGTGTTGACTTCAACATATATTTTAAACAGATGTCCGACAAAGAAGTTAGAAGGAATCACGCTAGAAGAATGTTGGTATGATGTCAAGCCTAGCTTGGGTAATCTGAAATTATTTGGATCTATAGCACATAGACATATGTCTGATCAGTTGAGAAGAAACTTGATGACAAGTTGAGTCAAATGATCCTAATATGATATCATTCGACTGAAGGATACAAGTTGTTTGACTCAGTGAACAAGAATTATTATAGATGAGCTTACAGAATGGGATTGGACTGAAAAAGTAAGGAAGGATTTAGTGAAACTCTTATGTGAAGAACCAACAACTGAAGTCAAAAGAGAAGTTTAACAAGAAGTTAGAGGTCAATCAGGCCCAAGCAGAACACAAAGAACAAGATGCATACCTGCAAGGTTGCAG